AGTGCACAAATTTTTGTGCACCAGGCCTCTAGTCTATGTATAAATGGCACTCCTCTAATAGATAAAAAGTCTTCTTATTGCTTTACAGGTGGTGGTGCTGAAGCAAGATCTTTAAGTCTCTAGCACCTCTGGCATTTCAGATGTATGTGCGTGGTGGAAAATCACCTGTGTCCCAATAGAAGGTATGTGTCTCCTCTGTGCTCTGGTCATCTTGGTCTCAGAAAACAAATCCCCCAGGGGAATGTAGTGGCCACTGGGGTTCCAAATCCGTGAAATGCCAGTGCTGCCCACTTTAGCCAGATGGTGCCAACAGAGAAGCTGTCATCTGTTGGTGTGGGGTGAGCTGGGAGAATTTGGTCACTTCCTTTGTTGCTTTGCTTTCCCAGTAAGGTTGACTGGCAGACATCTGTGGCATCACCTCCATGTCTCCACCCTACCCTGGGATTAGGCACATTGTGCCTGTCACTCAGGGAAAAAATTTCAGATAATGCGCCAACCCTCACTGCTATAGCTTCTTCTGGGGCCTGCTGATGGCTCTGGGAGGGTGAGGAGAGGTAGTCAGGCTCCATGGCTCTCTGTTTGGAATGCTGATTGTCAAAAAACTGGCCACACCTCTGTCCTTCATCCCTGCCTAGGTCACTGGGCTCAAGAACCAGCAACCTTTCAGTGCACAGGCCAATGCCCAACCACACTCACCAGGGCTAAGTCCACACTTTTAAGTATCATTGATTGGAATATCAGATGTTATCTCATTAAGAAAAGGATAATTCATTGTATTTACCATATTTCTGCTCTTTCTGTTAGTATTTCAAGGTTTTTTCCTTTTCTATTTCAATAACTTCCTCTAGCCAATTTTTAACAGGACTTCCATTGACAAATTATTTTAGTTCCAATTGTCTGAAATTATCTTTTTTTACTCTTTAATAACTGAAGTACAGGGAATTTATAGTTCACAGTTTTGTTTTGTTTTTCCCCCCCCCGCTTACTTACAAAATATTGTGCCACTGGTTTTTGGCCTCTAATGGGCAGGTAGCGTCTAACACATGGATGGATATTCTGAACAAAGGGATGATTCACATACCAGAAAGGATGAAGAACAGCTCAAGATTCATCACCTACTCAGACTGTGCAATTTAAAACTGATTTATAAAAAAATAATTTTTATTTTCAATTACAGCTGACATACAATATTATATTAGTTTCAGGTGTACAACACAATGATTAGACATTTATGTAAGTTGAAAAGTGATCTCCCTTAGTACCCAACTGGCACCACAGTTACCGCATTATTGACTGTATATTCCCTATGCTGTACTTTACATCCTTGTGACTCTTCTGTAACTACCAATTTATACTTTTTAACCCACTCCCAACCATCAAAATGTTCTATTTCTGATTACTTTAGATTCCATATACAAGTGAAATCATATGATACCTGTCTCGCTCTGATTTCATTTAGCACAGTACGCAGTAGGTCCATCCATGGTGTTGCAGATGGCAAGATTGGATTTGAACCTATGGCCCTGGTCAGTGTGGCTCGGCCTCATGTTTGTGCATCATCACACACTGCGAGGCCCCTGCTTGGATTACAGGTTGCGGACTCAATCCCCAGTAGGGGGAATGCAGAAGGCAGTTGATCGATGTTTCCCTCTCCCTTAATTCAATAAAAATATATTTTAAAAACAAACAATCTTACGAATTATTTTTGAACCACAGTTGACTGTGTAACTGAGACCATAAACAAACACACCTGTAGATAAGGCGGACACGGGGAGAACAGCTACCCAAATCTGGACTCTTTATTTTGGAATCCTTGCCTAGGGACTCTTGATTAGCCTGATCAAGGTTTTCTGAGAGTTGCAATGCAGTCTCAACTTTCTCTAATCAATCTTCCTTCTTTCTTCTTAAATTTTCATGGTGTCAAACCTAAATTGTAGCCTGAAGGGTTCTTCTACCCATGTTTTATCCCGTCCCCCTTTATCCCTTATGTGTTTCCCCCAATAAACCTAACACATCGAATTCTGTTTGGGCATCTGTAAACATAGGGTTTTGAGAAGAAGTAAAATGAGATATTTATTTAGTACATTATTTTTTTTTTTTTAAATCTTTTAAAAAAGATTTTTAAAGAGAGGGAGGGAGGGAGGGGGGAAAGACTTGTTGTTCCACTCATTTATGCATTCATTGGTTGATTCTTTTTTTTTTTTTTAATATATTTTATTGATTTTTTACAGAGAGGAAGGGAGAGAGATAGAGAGTTAGAAACATCGATGAGAGAGAAACATCGATCAGCCGCCTCCTGCACATCTCCTACTGGGGATGTGCCCGCAACCCAGGTACATGCCCTTGACCGGAATCGAACCTGGGACCTTTGAGTCCGCAGACCGACGCTCTATCCACTGAGCCAAACCGGTTTCGGCGATTGGTTGATTCTTTTATGTGCCCTGATGGGGGATCAAACTTGCAAACTTGGCATACTGGGATGATGCTCTAACCAACTTAGCCCACTGTCTTAATACAGAAGTCACTATTAAGTTTTTGTGTTTTTTGAAGATTATACATTTCAAGTTTCAATAAACAATGGGAGAATGAATTACTTTTAACATATTTATTATCTGAGAAAGCTTGGTTATTTTTCTTGCTTTAATGGAACAACATATTCCATCAAATTATCCAAGGAAATCCAGATAATTATCCATTTCCTCAAGGTTTTAAAAGACCATAAAAAGGATAAACATTATGCCACTTTAATAACTTTCTCCCTCTATACTTAAGGAATTCAAGTACAGAAATAAACTCTAGTGCTGAGGTAACATTGCAATCTTCTCCCAACATGACTACATAGGTGCTTAAGGTTAAATGTGAATATTGCTGTGAGGTTTTAAGCTACTTGATGAACCAATGCCACGTCACATTTAGACCAAAAGCAGCACATTTAGACCAAATGCACCTGAAAGGATTATTTTCAATACATGAATGTGTGTGTGTGTGTGTGTAGGGAAAGGTTGACTGAACCACACTGATAACAGAAAGTTAGAAGTCAGCCGTTGTTGGAAATACAGAAACATACACAGTCTTCGTGTTCAAAGTCTTCAGGGGAATTTCTTCTGTAATTTCTAGAGCGAAAAGAGATTAAAAATAAATAAATTTTCTTCCTATTCTACATACCATAAAAATGTCAGCTGCCTGAGTAAGCAATAAATTTGGCCTCACCCCAAGAGAGATTTGACCTTTCATCACACCTGATAATTTATGCAAGGGAGATAGCTGACTCAGGGGGTTGGAAGCTACACCCGAAAGATCAACCACATAATTCAAGGTAAAAGTAAGTTCAACCATGTGGGCAATGACTCAATCATGCCTATGTAACAAAGCCTCAATACAAAGCAAGGCACCAAGGGTGAGCTTCCCTGTGTGGGAGCCCACTGTACACTGGATGCACCAGGGTCAGAAGAAGGAAACCCCGTCTATGCTCCTGGGAGAGGACAGCTGAAGCTCTGTGCCTGCACAGCTCTCCTATTTGACCCTACACATTATTCCTTTCCCTGCAGTAAATGTAGTCATGAATGCAAACGCTTCCAATGAGTTCTGTGAAACCTGCTAACATACTGTCAAACCTGAGAGGTTGCAGTTGGTGCCAGAAGTGACAGAAGCCCTGTATGAAGCCCTCCCTCCATGTTTGTAGTTGGACCCCTGACTGCTTATAGCTGAGGGCTCATTCTTTGTTTAACTTATGAAGGACTGTGCCTCCACCTAAGTAATGCTGGGTATTGCCCCTATTGTCCTCATACCCCTCCCTCCATATCACACCACAGGCATTTCCTAGACACACAGAAAAGGCCTAGAACAAAACCAAGCCAGTGGCCCAGATTTGTGGTTTCTAAATATTAACGTCCAGTAATGGGAAGAAAAGCTATTTCCAGGTCTGGGGGAATAAGAGTACATGGTAAACCTAGGAAATGCCAGAAAACAAGAACTGGTTTTGTTGAACCACACTGATAACAGGAACTTTTCCAAAACTGAAGAGCTCATGTCAAAGAATATAGGACCCAATATGCCCAAAGATAAAAAATTCCAGTATCCAAAGTATAACACAAATGCAATTAACACCCAATATATAAAAACTCAGAGTGACAAAAGAAAAGTTTAAAAAGCTCTTTGCCTACTCTGCTGCATTTTGCTTCTACCCAGATCTGAATTCAAAGAAGAAATCAACTTTCTTTAAAAATGGCTCTTGTCCAAGCAGGAATCCTGAATGTAAAAATACTCTCAAAGCTGCCTCCTTAACAGATAGTAACTCCAGGATCTGGAGATGATATTTAGAATCTAGTGGAACAAGCAGGAAGGCATCAGTGAGTGTTTAAAACTGTGAGCATTACATGATCCTTCTATTTACCAAAATATTAATCTTTTATGAAAGACAATTTTTAGAGAAAAAAAAATACAGTGAAAATGAGGCCAAAGATACCAGCGTGTGTGCCGTCACCTGCTGTCTTGGTGGTGGGCTTGATGACAGCAGCCCATGTGCCCAGTGTGGGACCCTGGCACCTATTTCTAGGAGAAACAGAGCAAAAATACTGTGTTTGTTCTAACCTCTATGAAGGGCTTACATAAGGCACTTGTCTCTGTTTTGCCTAACTTGGAACTCGGTCAGGGTGGAAAGTGGTAGGTATTGCTTAAAAACATTATAAGGCAAACAAAAACCCCACAGCTGTGTGGAATAAAAGATTATCACTGAAACATACATAGGCTGTCTAAGGCCTGGGAGGAAAAGTACAAGAGAGATTGTTTGGATAATTGGGGCTTTAACAATTGCCCGTGCATCCTGAGTAATTTTAGAAAGCTACATGCATGTCCAGGCCCAGATGTATAGACAGAAAACACCTGAGAAGACACAAAGTTTTCAATTCTGAAAAAGGTAAAAGGCTTTTCTGGCTAAATCTGGCTGCTCTTTAGGCTCAGTGCAAACAGAAAGTAAAGGCGGAGGCAGAGCTGTAAATAGCTTGGCTGTGCTGAATGAGTGGCCCATCACAAGCCAATCTCCAAAGACTAAGAGAGATGGGTATTTTGTTGTTATGCTTTTAGCCCCTGGGGGTCAAGATAATCTGTCAAGCAGCAGCTGAAAACAAGCTAACGGAACAGAGACTGCAATGACTACACACAACAAGGAATATAGACTTCGCCATGAAACAAATGAACAATTACAGCTTTCAAAAATCAGAAATAGCCCTAGCCAGTTTGGCTCAGTGAATAGAGCGTTGGCCTGTGGACTGAAGGGTCTCAGGTTCAACTCTGGTCAAGGGCACATGCCTGGTTGTGGGCTCAATCCCCAGTAGGGGGTGTGCAGGAGGCAGCCAATCAAAGATTCTCTCTCATCACTGATGTTTCGATCCTTCTCTCCCTCCCCCTTCTTCTACCTGAAATTAATTAAAAAAAAAAAATCAGAAATAGCACACACTCTGGGGAGTGGGAGAGCCTAATATTCAAATGTCCAATTTTCAACATCAAAAATATCACAAGGCATACAAAGAAGCAGGAAAGTTATGGCACAGTCAGAGGAAAAGCTAAACAGACAGAATCTGTCCTTTAGAAAGTGCAAATATTTGAACTTACACTCTATAGTAACTCTCTTAAATGGAAAACCACAAACCAATGGAAAGGCCAATGGAAGCCACAAATAATTAAAGAAATCCAAGAAAGCAATGTACCAACAAATTAAGAATATCAATAGAGAAAGTATAAAAGAAACCAAAGAGAGATTCTGGAGTGGAAAAGTAAAACAACTGAAATAAATTCACAAGAGGGGCTACTAGTAAATAGCATATTTGAGCAGTCAGAAAAATCAGTGATCTTGAAATAGAACATTTGAAATAACACAGTCAAATAGACTAACATATAAATTATGAGAGTTTTGGAAGGAGAAGAAAAGGTAGAAAGAACATTTGAAGAAATAGTGACCAAATCTTGAAAGCAACAAAAGAGAAACCACATGACAGGGATACTAATGAGTAGCCAATTTCCAATCAGAAAACATGGAAGCCAAAGGTAGTGGAATAACATATTTAAAATACTGAAAAACTATCTACACAAAATCTCTATCTGGCAAAACTGTTCTTCAAAATTAAGAAGAAATAATTAAAGCATTCCCCAAAAAAGAGAAGTTGAGGGAGTTCATTTTTACTAAACATGGTAAAGGGAGTCCTTCAGGTTGAAAAGCAAGTGTGCTAGGCAATCATGTCAGTTCTAACTTTCCACTGTTATTTGACAACTAGAGGCCGGGTGCACGAAATTCATGCACCACGGAGAGGGAGCTGGGCGGGGGGAGGGCGTGTCCCTCAGCCCAGATTGCGAGAGGGCGCAGGTCAGCCAAAGGACCCCTCCGGTGCACGATTGGAGCTGGGGAGGGACGTGGGAGGTTGGCTAGCTGGAGAGGGGCCGCGGGAGGGCTACAGGGCACGTCCGGCCCATCTCACTCAGTCCCAATCGGCCGGACCCCAGCAGCAAGCTAACCTACTGGTTGGAGCATCTGCCCCATGGCGGTCACTGCACGACAGAGCAAGCGGTTGAGCGGCCTTAGCATATCATTAGCATATTACGCTTTGATTGGTTGAATGGCCGACCAGATGACTGGATGCTTAGCATATTAGGCTTTTATTGTATAAGACTAGAGGCCCGGTGCACAAAAATTTGTGCACTCGGGGGGTCCCTCAGCCCGGCCTGTGCCCTCTCGCAGTTTGAGACCCCTTGGGGGATGTCCACCTGCTGGCTTAGGCCTGCTCCCCAGGGGATCGAGCCTAAGCTGGCAGTCGGACATCCTTAGTGCTGCTGAGCAAGCGGGAGAGGCTCCTGCCATCACTGCTGTGCTGACAGCCGTCAGCCTGGCTTGTGGCTGAGCAGAGCTCCCCCTGGGGGAGCGCACTGACCACCAGGGGGCAGCTCCTGAATTGAGCGTCTTTCCTCTGGTGGTCAGTGTGTGTCATAGTGACCAGTCATTCCCAGTCGTTCTGCTGTTAGGGTCAATTTGCATATTATCCTTTTTATTATATGCCTGGTGCATGGGTGGGGGCCGGCTGGTTTGCCCTGAAGGGTGTCCCGGATCAGGGTGGGGGTCCCACTGGGGTGTCTGGCCAGCCTGGGTGAGGGGCTGAAGGCTATTTTCAGGCTGGTCAAGCCCCCCAGCAGGGACACTCACCCCTTGAGGGTGTGGCCAGCCTGGGTGAGGGGCTGATGGCTGTTTGCAGGCTGGCCACAGCCCCTTCAGGGTGGGGGGTTCCCACTGGGGTGCCTGGCCAGCCTGGGTGAGGGGCTGATGGCTGTTTGCAGGCTGGTCACGGCCCCCAGCCACCCAAGCTCCCAGTGGAGGCTGGCTGGAAGCAGGTATCTGGGATTTATTTATCTTCTATAACTGAAACTTTGTTACCTTTAGCGGAGGCCACAGCCGGCCAGGGCAGGCTGGAAGCTTGGCTTCCTCCATTACTGGGGCAACCAATCCTCCTGCTTGCTCCAGCTCTGTGGCTGCTGGCCGCCATCTTGGTTGGGTTAATTTGCATATAGTCGCTCTGATTGGCTGGTGGGCGTGACTTGGGGCGTAGCGAAGGTACGGTCAATTTGAATGTTTCTCTTTTATTAAATTAAATACTGGGATCATTTTAATCCTTGGGGAAGAGAATAATTTAGAATCAGCAAATTTAGAATATGCTAATTTTCCTAGAAGCATATACAGGGTGGGGCAAAAGGAGGTTTACAGTTGTTCATATAGAAAATAATGCAACAAAAGAAGAATAAAACAAAAATTTAGCATGTTCTACAATCTCACCATCCATTTGAGTCTCATTCAGAAACAGCTTTAGCTTCCTGCTGCGAAGGCCAAACATCTTGGCTGCTTCACACAGAAGACCTTCATAGGTGAGTCCATTCTGCCCAAGTGGGTTTTCCAGCAGGAGGGTGCCCACTGTTCCCATTAAACACTCTACAGAAGGAAGAACAGATTGGATTAAACCCCGAGAGTCAACACCATCAAGCTACGGCATCCCTAACGGAGGGGGGACTGCTGCAGGCTTGGAAAGGCAGCCGTTGAGTGTAGGGTGCCAGTGGGACAGCTGTACAGTATGCAGAAAAGTCTCAAACATCTCCCAGAGGGAAAGGGGAAGGAGAAAAAGAAAACCGATCAGTATAAAAATCCCTGCAGCTTGGAAAAGAAGTATTTAGCAAATGCATAACAAAGAGCCTGAAGGCTTCAGTAACCAATGTGTACAATGAGAACACCAAACAACTGGAAAAAACTAAGTTTTCAAAACACTTTCCAAGAAGAAAAAATAAGGCTGGATTAAAATGTGTTGGCATTTAAACAATTCAGATTTAGCTGTAACTTTTACCTACTCAATTTATCTCATTTCCTTTCCGTATCAGATGGATGAGAGTACTTCTACATAAATAAAGCAAAAGAAACAAGCCTGTGTGTGTTTCTTTAAATTAGTACATTAAAGCCAATGTGAAAAATCCACACAAGTAAAAGAGGTTGAAAATTAAAGGAAACCTTACCATCCAACACCCCACCACTCACCTGCTGAAGATGTTTACAACTAGGGAAGGCACGTACCTTGTGGGTCTGCATTCAGTAGCTGTAGGTTGATATACCGACAGAGAAGAGTACCAGGACTGTCAATCACAGAGGGAGCTGGTCCTGCAGTCACACCCAGCATCTTTCCACTAAGACTCAGTAAGTCGGTTTGGTTTTGTATTTCTACAAATAAGAAAAAATAGTAAAAGACATCATTCTTTCAGGGGCAGATAGTTTATATACCTGAAGTCATTCACTTTTCCATATTTATTAAACTACCATATGTGTATCTTTACAGTGATACTTTCTACTTGTTTATGAAAGGACATTGCCTTTTCTATAAAATCACACGCAATTAGTAGGACATGTTATTGGTGCAAAATAAATGGCATAATATTCACAACCTAAAATGCAAACTATTTTGTTTCCCTTTAGTTTTTTCCCTGTATAGCCGACTCTTGAAAATGGGTAAGACTGCAGATTTTTTCAATAAATACAGTTGGCCCTTTCTATACACGGGTTTTGCATCCAAGGATCAGAAACAGTATTTTCACATTCTCAACTTCAGATGGAAAATACTGTTTTGTCTGGAAGTCAGATGTGGTTTACAGAGCCACGTATAGATGCCTGAATCACAAGGGGTGGACGGTGGAGATTTAACTCTGCTCACTTAGCTAAGCTAAAAGCTTCCCAGAACTTTCTGACTGTCCTGGATTGGGTTAGAGCTGACCAGAGAAAGGTGCACAGGATTTTAGTTACAGCCACTGTTTCCTAAGGTCAATGCGGGGCCCAGGCACCACTCAGCTTTCAGGGACTGCCACTCACAGGGTCAGAGGGGACAGCAACCGGCCTACACTCCTGTGCTCTTCCAATGTCCGGGCCAGGTGCACAAGCAACTCGCTTGCCAAGCTGCTTCTGCAGGGCCTGCCAGTGTTAGATGTGCCCGACAGAGGAGCTCCAGCCTGTCCTTGCTGACCTCTACTTCTCATCCCAGAGACTTCAGGGACAGGACCAGCCCCCCTAATCATACGCCCTGGGTGGATCCAGGTCACAGATTTTTCTCCGATCTTCCAACTAGCTGCCCTCATCCAGACTTTCACTTCCTGGCTTTCTCTCTCTCATCACTTCTGCTTCCCTTTTTCAGCCCCTGACAGATAGGATGGCACATGGTTTTCCATGCTGGTTCTATCCATTTACAATCCAGCAGGGAATGGGAGTTCCTATTACACAACACCTTTGATGACGTTTAAGGCTGTGAAATTTTTCTAGTTTTTGCCAATCTGGTATCAAGTAATAGTACCACATTGTGGTTTTTACTACTGAGGTTCAGCAGGTATTCTTTTAGTTACTGCCCATTTAGATTTTCTCTTTTAGGCTATTTAAAGGTTTCTAAAATAAGCATTCAGGTTCATAAAATGAGTATTATTAGTTTCCTACATCTATTGCCAAGAAACGTAAGTTAGGGGACTTAAAACAACAGAAATTTATTGTCTCAGAGTTTGAGGCAAGAAGCCTGAGATCAAGTGTCAGTAGGCCCTCGCTCCCTCTGATGCCTTTTGGGGAACCCTTCCCTTCCTCCCAGCTTTGGAAGTCCCTAGCAATCCTCGCTGTTTCTTGGCTTGCACCTGCACAATTCCAGTCTAGGCCTGTCATCACACAAGGTCTCTGTCTTCCCACAAGGATACCAGTCCTCCGTAATAGGGCCCACCGCACCTCATCTAACTACCTCTGCAAGGACCCTATTTGCAAAGAAGGCCCATGGTACTATGGGTAAAAACTTCAATGTATCTTTTTGCTTTCTTTCTTTTTTTGGTGGATTGGTCTCACATTTCAACCTGTGACAGTGGGAGAGAATGTACTTACAACTTTTAAAAATTCTATTTAGGCTTATCTTACCGAGAATCTGGATTTAGCAAGATGCAGACACTATGTTTAAGAAAGTTAAGACACCCTAGGGAAGTCTGTGAAGCTCAGAATCCTGCACCTGGCTAACAGGTGAGAGAGTAGGGGGAGCTGCCATCTCCTGATAAGGACGGTGTTCTTGCTGCCATATGCACAGGCAGGCACTGCTGAAGAGCCGGCCTGACTCACACACTCCACCTGTGTCAAAGGCCACGGCTAGCTTTCCACTTCCGCACACCTGTTTCCCCGTGGAAGAGCGCCAGCTCTGTGTTCTTCACACCAAAAATGCTGGTAACAACACTCTTCAGCTTTAGGAGGTCTAACCGATTATCGCCTTTAGGATTTTCCAGAAGCAGTACTCCACCTAAAAAGCCAAAAATATAAGTAAATCTGAAGAAAAAGGTAAATGTGAATGTAAAGTGAAGGGCACAGACAGAGTGTTCAGCTGGCCTTTCTTTCTTTTTGAGTGTGTACACCATACGCTCTCAGGATGCGCGTGGGCAGTCCTGGGTGTGATGTATTTAACATAAGTGGGATGAGCCAGAAGCACTTCAGTGGCATTTCCTCACATGTCCTGTGGGGATTATAGGAGAACAGAGTGCCACACAGCTGGAGATAGAAAGAATCTCTTTCTTCCAATGCCTTTTTAAAAAACCTTTTAAATTTAGTATTATGTCATTTTTAACCCTTTGAGGTCATATTAAATTTGGACATGGGTGTCGTACTGGTTGGAATTAATTTCCATTGAAAGAGCAGTGATACATAACATGCAAGATTATGAAGGATAAACAAGATTTATTAATTCTTTTTTGGAACTA